ATTTCTATGAATATTTCGACACGAATGTCCCAAGTCCTAACCCTGTGCTCACCGTGTCACAGACAGTGCTAATCAATCAGCATTCTTCCCTGCTTAGATTTGCCCCTGAACCTTTACATAAATGTTGAAGCCTATTTTCCATCCTTAACCCAAATAATGGAAAATAAAATTCATTTGAAGTCAAAGACATCAAGCTTAAGGAGAAATAGGGACCGTGATACATGGCAATGTGGCAGAAATGGATAGTACCATAGTAAGCAGAGTCACTTGAGAGAAGCGAGTACATCATAAGGGGAAAATGAAGACACGGGTTTGGAAATGATTTGGTAGCAACATCACCATCAAATGTCATTTATATTAAGTCTACAAGACCATAGTGCATTGCTGGGCAGCCTTAGCACAGACAGATTTTAATTTTAGAGCAAACTGATATAACGAAAATATAGTTTCCTGGGGGCTGCGGGGGGAACATAACAGAAGGTAATTTTCCTAAATAGCATTAATCAATTATTTAATCACCCATATGCCTTGCTGAACAAGTCATGTGTTGCTGAAAGTCCCTGATAACATTCTGTGAAATCGGGCATTATGTGATTTAGATATATGCATACATCGTATCGTAGTCTAGTCCTGCTTTTCCTTAAAGCTTTGTGTCTTGTCCATGACATTTAGTGAAATAGGACATTATGTGATTTGGATGCATGAAAACACCATATTGTAGTCTGGCCCTGACTTTTCTTTAAATATCTTCAACAAGCTTTGTGCCTTAGCAGAGACATCAACATGCTGAGAGGAATTTGCTTTTGGGTCTGGTCCTCAATCCACACCATTAACAATTTCTCCATATGTGATTTCGGCCCCTCTCACATTTTCATTAGCCTTGTAGCTTTCAGTGGAGTTGGTCCTTTAATAGCTTGGAGAATTCTTTTCTTTGCTTGTGGGGGTTGACGTGATTGTCGAATGTGATTTTCTACCTTTGTGTTGTCCAATAACCTTTTATTTCACTTCCAAATCGATACTTCACCTTTGCCTCTTTACTGCTGCTACCACCCTCACTGGACTTTTTGTGTTTGGTAGTTACGATGCCTTCATGGCAATATTGCCAAAAGAAATTTAAACAGAGAGAGAACACTACAACACTCAAGAGATGTACATACCATACATGAGACAGATGTTGCTGTCTACGAGTTGAGGCATATCATACACCATAAACTTTTTAGATAGAAAGTACAGGCAGTCCTGGGTCCTAAACAAGATCCATTCCAGTGACTTCAGAATCTGTGAGGGCTTCAAACTGGTTCTGTCTGGTTCAGTCAGGGTCCATGAAGTGTCACCAGAACAGACTTGAATTTTTACAGTTACAGTGAACCAGAGAGAGAGCCAGAATGGTAAAAATTACGAGTTGAAGCTTTGTTAGAAACTTAACATCCCTTTTACAGAAGGGCAGCAACCACATGTCAGAGCCACCAAATCTCTGGCCCTCCAATTCTGAGCAGCCTGCAGCAACACCAGTAACAGGTGTTGATTACAACGATCAAGACATAGAGATTGTAGGTTGTTAGATGTGAGGGGGCTTTAGCAAGTTCATGGGAAAATGGAATTAAAAGATAATTTAATTTTTCCACAAACATTTTGATGCCCCCTCTTGTGTACTACACCATTATATATGAGAGAGCGGAAATGCTTTGTATACAAGAGACACGAGATGGGTGTGTTCATGCAGGAAGCTGTTTAAACGTGCTATGTCCCGTTCTACAATTGGGATTTCCAAACGTTAACTATACACAAAAGCCTTATGGGACCGTGGGTATAGATGCATTTGGATGCTGTCTGAATGAATGATTCCATCAGTTTCTTCAAGCTGATCGGCCAGGAGTTGGAACACAGTGAACATTAGATTTATTTGCTTCCTCTGCTTGCCTGGTAGCCTGAGAACAGCCCAGGCACAGGGAGCTCACCTCCCTTCACAGCCTGCTACGTCACCAAGACATGCAGCCGGAAGCACCATATCCACCCCCGGAGGTCCCCAACACTGCTAAGATGTTTCCATGGTAAAAGTCCTTTGCTTTACCTTTTAGGATGCTCTACCACCAGGGAGCCTGTCACAGTTGATATTCAAGGCCCCCTGTTTTGGGGAAGAAAACATTGTTCTCATGCAAAGAAGAATGGGGGTGAATCCTAACAAACCAGGAAACCTCCCACCTGCCCAGGCTATTTATGCTTCTGGAAAATTACTGAATTGTACCAAACTATGTAAAATTTCATTCCCCAAACTCCACCATGCCAGTATACTATCAAATGGCAATTATGTAACCCATGTTTCCTTTGACTCGCTTGCACCCCAGCTCTGCCCTTCTGTAACCAGAGTGAAGGTTCTTGCTTGAGGTGTCCTGGGGCAGAGGTGGTATACTGCAGCTGAAGCTGAGAAAAGGAGAAAGTGAAGCCCGTGGGGCCAAACAGAGGCCAAACTGAGGTAAACATCTATGTGTCAGCTTTAAGCTCAGTAGGGCACAACCTCTCTACAGGCTGAGTCTTTAAAATGTGATCCTTCAAACTGAGAGCATCCAGGAACTGAGAGTTAGCATGTAAAGTTCACTTTAAACAAGAAGATTAAGGGATAGGCTGATCAAAAGCACAGAGGAAGCATGGGTTTTAAGCAATCAGAAAGGGGCAGACAGGAAAGAGCAAAGAGGCCCCTTTTCACTCACTAGGTGTAGTCTGACTAACAATTTGTTTGGGCCTCTACAGACTATTTACCCATATGCTATCTTTCCATAACCCAATTCAACTCAGTAGGGTTTGCAGCAAAATGTCAGAAAGACAAATCATTCCAATCAGAACATTCCTTTGGGCACATGGAATAAGGGAGGAGGGCTGAGGCGACAAGGAGTGATTAAAGAGACCTCTCTGATGCAAAGCACGCTCCATAGATGGCAATGATCAGGTACAAAGGCAACAATCTATCTGTCAGCCTGGTCATCACAGACGTGCTGTGTGCCTGGTCCAGCAGATACACTGGAGAGGAACAGACTTGTTTTCTCAGCACTCTTGGACCCTTCTGTCCTCATTAAAAACACAAACACAATGTATATAGTATTTCAGGTATACAAAAGATACAAGAACAATATGACAAACAACTATAACTCCTCTCCTTTGAGAAAACAAAGTACCACTTAATCTAGCTGAGGACCCCATGGCTGCCTTCCATTCTCTGGAGAGGTAACAACTGTTTCAAAGGATCACGTTTTCCTCTAGGGTAATCAAAACCTGACTGGCAGTTGTCATTACCAGGCACTTGTATACATACATGTGCATTACTAAAAAATGTACAGCTGTGTTACATGTATGTAAATGTATACAATGGTATCCTCATCTATGTGATGGCAGTGGTATGCTGTCGAATCACTTCTGACTCATAGGGACCCTGTATAGGGTTTCCAAGGCTGTAAATCATTACAAGAGCAGAAAGCTTCATCTTTCTCCCTCATACCAACTAGCAGATTCAAACTGCTGACTTTGAGGTTAGCAGCCCAGCTCGTAATCCATTACACTACCAGGGCTCCTTAGCCTCTATGTAGTCTTTTGTAATGAGATTTTCTGCTCCCCACTGTCTGTCACACTCGTCCATTTGGCCCCTTGCAGTCTACATAGTATTCATGTATTTATACATCATGTTTTACCCCATTCTCACACTGATGGCTATTTAGTAATCTTCCAAGGTTTTCGCTGTTATAAACTATGCTGTAATAACCATTTTCATACGGTCTCCTCAAATCCAAGTATAAGAGGTCTTGGGGGACTATACCTAGTGGTGGACATGCAGGGTCATCATTACTGGATTTTCCCAAATGTCTTGCCAAAGAGGTTGAATGTATCCATATGAATGTAGACATAACATATGCTCCATCACAGGGCTCCCGTTTTTACTTTTTCTGCCTGGGTTCTTTGGTCAGGCTTTCTAACATCTGCTAGACCAGAAGGTGTTGGATCTCTTGCGGTGGTTTAGCCTGCCCTTCCCTAAAGGTGTGCACAATCTCATGCTGACTGGCTTGTTTGCTTTCCTCCCCTTTGAACTGCCACTTTTGACAGTTTAATTTTTATGTGGATATTTTAGCTCAATAACCTGATTCTGATTTAACCAGTATAAGACTGTCGGGTAAAGTTTCTGACAAAGCTACAGCTACTCCTGATAAAAAGGAGCAAACATTCTTTTGTCCTTCACGCATAGTTCTTTTCCCCATTTTCCTTCTTGAAAGCAGCAATGATGTTAGAATAGCAGCGGCAGCCTTCTTACAATCAATCGTAAGGCAACTGTTTGACATCAGAGGCCAACACACTAATAAGGGTGGAGTGAAAGGATATATATAGTGAGCCTGCTGGGTCCCTGAAAATTGCTGGGCAGCTGAAGCAATGCCAGCAACTGCTCACCCCCACAAGATTTACTCCATAAAAACACATAGCCTGTATATACCACTGTAGTTGAGTTCTGCTACTTGCAGCCAAAAGCATTCCTAACAGATACAATCACTTTGCTAGAAACAGAACAGGGAGGGAG